CTCATCAAGATTTTCCTTGCTTGATGGGCATCTGTAGTGGCAGCAGCACTCACTCTATCTTCATGACTCACGAAATCGTAATTACACGATTGCAAGCAAACCATACCATGGATGGGGTTAAAGCCTGCGATCAGAGAGTCTCAAAACTCCAGACCATCGCTTTAGCGACGGTCTGGAGTTTTGAGACTCTCTGATCGCAGGTTCTAAGCCTGCCCGTGGTATGGTTTCTCTATCTTCATATTCATACAACACCAAGTCCTCATTACTCAGTACTAGAATCAGTCTGGGCAAATAGCAAATGGCCAGTGACTGTGGAGTGATGGAATATTTAGGACAAGGCAGGTTGGTATGGTACATTGAGGCAAACTGTTCCTATAAGGCCCAGTGTGGTGTAGGAATTTTTTGTTGGTGTGCACACAATGTAAACTCCATGTAAGTAAACCAATGGTGCAAGCTACTTGATCATGTATAGACTTAACATTCCCAATCATGGCCATTTTGAGGCACTACAATTAAAATGTTGATCTGTGTGTGGTAGTATATACACACCTGTTGATCAACTTGTGTGGCAATTTAAGGGTTAATGCTTGATTGATGCACATTCTCATTAAATACTGCTAATTGTCACTTAAAAACCTACTAAAATGTATGTCTTACTGTGAAGATTGGTGTAAATTAATGGCATTAAAATGATAAATAATTTTCCCTACCTTCATAATTTTGCTCTTAAGTTAGAAATAATTTTGCTCTTCATATTCATTCAAATTTTGTAATTCTTATTAGTGCTTCAGTCATGGCAGGTATTTGCATTTTAAACATTTCATAAAAAAATCATTGAAGTGATAAATAATATTGCAGTTCAGCGGTGGAAGGAGAAGCTTCCATTGTGAATGAACTTCGGGGAGAGCTTCACCAGGCTCAGCAGCACCTGCAGCAGATGAGAACCCAGCTCTTAGCTGCAGAGGAAGATGCACAGCTTCACGCACAGGATGTAAGTTGGTGTCATCAATATGATCAACTTGAAAATCAAAATGCATGTTATTACATTTGTGACCCAAATTTGCAGTCTCATGCAAATTTGTGTTCAGTGGGGAACCAGGATGAGAACATACTCATGGAACAGGCTTGAACCCATAGGTTCTAAAACTAGCAGTGTGTTAACCAGTGCACATAACTAGATGCATTTCTATACACATTAGGAAGATTAGCGAGGAACCCACTGTGTCCACAATGCAGGTTTTTACAGAGGGACCTCACACCAACATGGCTGTGGTGTGCTCTAGTTAAAGTCTCCTTAAAGCTGTTATGAATGACTCATAAAATTATGACAGTAAACAGTTTGTTGAGTGGAGGGTGAGTTTGATTTGTTAGAATAGTGTCATTATGTTACGAAGTATGAAGAGAAAGAGGAGGAAGAAAAAATTCTCAGTACTGTGTAGAGGTGTACCAGCATATTGGTATTGGTGGTATTGGCTAATTTTTATGGTATCAGCATCGGCCTAAAATTAAGTACAGCCTCTCCTCACTTTGCGACATACTCACTTACCAACGACTTGGACTTACAACAGGCTCTCTGACCTGTATGCATACTTATATAATGTATATTAGAGCTGATTTCCTCTATTCTGTTTATTACAATATACAGTACACTATTGTATAAACATTTAAAAATATACTAAAAATGTTATAAATGGTGCAGAGGTGATATTAACCCTTTCAGGGTCCAAGGCCCAAATCTGGAGTCACGCACCAGTGTCCAAGAATTTAAAAAAAAAAAATTTGTTATTTTTTCTTATGAAATCGTAGAGAATCTTTTTGTGAAGGTAATAAAACAAAAAGTACGAAATTTGGTGGAAAATTGACGAAATTATGCTCTCGCGAATTTTGATGTGTCAGCGATGTTTACGAATCGGCGATTTTGCTGACTTTGACTCCCATTTTAGGCCAATTACATTATTCCAATCAACCAAATTCTTAGCTATTTCACTAGTATTACTTCTATTCTATCGATTGAGCACAAGAAATCGCCAAGTCAACTGTTTCAACTACAAAATAAAGTGATCGGAAATTGTTAATTTGGCCAATTTAACACAAAGTTCAAAATATTCCAATTTCAAAATAGGGTCCAGAATAAACAATGTAGGCATTCCTGGCACTAAACTAACATTTCCTCTGTTCATTAGTTATGTTTTGAGGCTTTACAAATAAATTCCATTTTGATTTTTTATTCACATAATGAATTTTTATTCACACCAAAAAATAGAAGATTTACTGTTATGCAATACTGTAATAATTGTATAAATATCATCACCATATTTGTGAATGTATATTAGACCCACCAGCTGACGTGTATTAGACGTGTGAGGTCGTTTGTTTACTCTTGAATATCGGCAAAAATTTAACATTTCCGCTACTTTGAGCTCAGTTTCAAGCCATTTCCAGTGCTAAAACCAATGAAAATCATCTCTATTTCTGTAATATGTCTTCCATTCTATCAAATGAGACCAAGAAATCGCAAATAGAACTATAAAAAACATATGAAAAAACACTGCAAAGTCGCTGTTTTAATCGAAAAATCATGATTTCAGTTTTTTTTCTCTCATTATACACAGTGTGCTGCAGGATCTGTTTTATGTGGTGCACACATACCACATAGATGTATTCTCTCATATCTAGGCCCAAATGTACCACTCACAGTTTATCAGAGTGAGCTGAGCTCATGACGTAGATCTACGGTTTGGACCCTGAACGTAAAGCCGTAGATCTACGGGACGGACCCTCAAAGGGTTAATGTTGCAGTTTAAAAACTGTAGTGTAAAGCACCCTTCTGGCAAGACAGTGATGGAGTGAATGATGGTGAAAGTTTTTCTTTTTCGGGCCACCCTGCCTTGGTGGGAATTGGCCAGTGTGATAATAAAAATAAATAACACAATTTACTTTTCATAACATTGTTTTCCTGAACACTCTGGGATTTTCAGAATGGTACACTAGTAATGGCTTCACTTTGAAATCCCCACTAGCATTAGCACAGAACATTAGTGTCAGCCTGTCTTTCATAGGCTTGTGTCCTGGCATTGCCTTTTTCTCCTGTGTAATGAAGGTCCTCTTTGGCATTTTCTTCCAAAAGAGGCCTGTTTCATCACAATTGAACACTTGTTCAGGTTTCAGTCCTTCAGCCTCTATGTACTCCTGGAATTCATGCACATATTTTTCAGCTGCCTTGTGGTCTGAACTGGCAGCCTCACCATGCCTTACCACACTGTGTATGCCAGTACGGTTCTTAAATCTCTCAAACCAGCCTTTGCTGGCCTTAAATTCACTCACATCACCACTATTTTCAGGCAATTTCTTTACCAGATCGTTGTGCAACTGCCTAGCCTTTTCACAAATAATTGAAGTCATAAGAGTATCTCATGCTAATTGTTTCTCATTTATCCACACCAATAATAACTTCTCAACCTCTTCGAGTACTGGTGATCTCATTTTTGTCAGCATAGTTATCCCCTTTGCAACAACAGCATCCTTGATTTCCCTTTTCTTAGCCACTATGGAACATATGGTTGTGTAGGGTTTCTTATACTTCCTGGCCAGTTCAGCCGCACTTGTACCACTTTCGTATTGCTCAATGATGTTTTTCTTAAATTCAGTCGTATTTCTCACCTTCTTTACCACAGGCTTGGCACTAGGAGCTTTCTTTGGAGCCATGGTAGCTTATTTAGTACTTGCAAGCACTAAAATAAATGGAATATTATGAAATATTTCGCTGGAGCACTTGAGGGGACTGTCGCTCACTGGTAAATAATGCCAGACTGGCTGCCGCCCCGGCTCACGCTGTGGGTACGTGTCCCAGACGAACTACGACTCGCGAGTCAACCTATGAATAGCGAGCCCATGTTTATATGAAAATACCCCTATGATTTCCGAAATCTATGATTGCCGAGAACTACGAAAAGCGAGAGACCACTATATTTTCAAATATAACAAAAAAAAAAAGAAGTAGATAAAAAGTTTTTTTTACACATTTACAAATGTAGAAAAACAAAAAGAAGATCTACTTTTTTTACATACTTTCAAATGTTGAAAAAACGTATATATACGTTTGGATCATTTACGGGTTAAACAATATATATGTAATTTATAAATAAGAAATATTTACATTTTATGAAGGATGAGGTTACTCATATAATTGATGAGGAAAAAAAAGGCGAGTGATGCGTTGAGGTTTATGTGGAGACAAAAAAACGCTATCTATGGAGGCAAAGAAGGGAATGCATGAAAGTATAGTAGTACCAACACTCTTATACGGGTGTGAAGCTTGGGTTGTAAATGATGCAGCGAGGAGGAGGTTGGAGGCAGTGAAGATGTCCTGTCTAAGGGCAATGTGTGGTGTAAATATTACGCAGAAAATTCAGAGTGTGGAAATTAGGAGAAGGTGTGGAGTTAATAAAAGTATTAGTCAGAGGGCTGAGGAGGGGTTGTTGAGGTGGTTTGGTCATTTAGAGAGAATGGATCAAAGTAGAATGACATGGAGAGCATATAAATCTGTAGGGGAAGGAAGACGGGGTAGGGGTCGTCCTCGAAAAGGTTGGACGGAAGGGGTAAAGGAGGTTTGTGGGCAAGGGGCTTGGACTTCTAGGAAGCATGCGTTAGTGTGTTCGATAGGAGTGAATGGAGACGAATGGTATTTGGGACCTGACGAGCTGTTGGAGTGTGAGCAGGGTAATATTTAGTGAAGGGATTCTTGGAAACCGATTAATTTTATATAGCCGGACTTGAGTCCTGGAAATGGGAAGTACAGTGGACCCTTGGCTAACGCTATTAATCCGTTCCTGAGAGCTCAACGTTAGGCGAAATTATCGTTAGGCGAATTAATTTTCCCTATAAGAAATAATGGAAATCAAATTAATCCGTGCAGGACACCCCAAAGTATGAACAAAAAAAAAATTTTACCACATGAAATATTAATTTTAATAAACACAAACTGAAGAAGACATGCACAGTTACATGACACTTACCTTTATTGAAGATCTGGTGATGATTGATGGGATGGGAGGAGGGGAGGGCGTTGATGGTGTTAGTGTTTTAGAAGGTGGCAAGTCCTTTTCCGAGGTTACTTCCCTTCTTCTTTTAATGCCTCTAGGACCAGCTTGAGAGTCACTGGACCTCTGTCGCACGACATATCTGTCCATAGAGGCCTGTACCCTCCCGTTCCTTTATGACATTCCTAAAGTGTTTCACAACATTGTCAGTGTAATAGTCACCAGCACGGCTTGCAATAGCTGTATGAGGGTGATTTTCATCAAAAAATGTTTGCGCTTTAAGCCACATTGCACACATTTCCTTAATCTTTGAAGTAGGCAACTTCCTCAATTTCTCTATTCCCTCCTCCGAAGCAGTTTCCTCAGGTGTGGCCTCTTGCTGTTGAAGATGATCTAGCAGCTCCTCAGTGGTTAGTTCTTCATTGTCTTCCTCCACCAACTCTTCCACATCCTCCCCACTAACCTCCAACCCCAAGGACTTCCCCAATGCCACAATGGATTCTTCAACTGGCATAGGATTCCCAGGGTTAGCCTCAAACCCTTCAAAATCCCATTTGTCTACACATTCTGGCCACAGTTTCTTCCAAGCAGAGTTCAAGGTCCTCTTAGTCACTTCCTCCCAAGCCTTACCTATAATGTTTACACAATTGAGGATGCTAAAGTGATCTCTCCAAAACTCTCTTAGAGTCAATTGAGTTTCTGAGGTCACTACAAAGCACCTTTCAAACATAGCTTTTGTGTACAGTTTCTTGAAGTTGGAAATGACCTGCTGGTCCATGGGCTGCAGGAGAGGAGTGGTATTAGGAGGCAAAAACTTCACCTTAATGAAGCTCATTTCCACAGAAAGTCGCTCTGCCATGTCTGAAGGATGACCAGGAGCATTGTCTAATACCAGGAGGCACTTTAGGTCTAATTTCTTTTCAGTTAGGTAATTTTTCACAGTGGGGGCAAA